CACCAAAGCATAATTTTCCATTCCCCTCATTATAAACAAATCCATGTGTCGAAAATATGCACTCATGTATTTAATGTATATACGTATACACATGTTCGTTTCTTAATAAAGGTTATAAGTCCGCTTTGTAATTTACGCGCAACACTATTAAAATTATTATTTGTCATTTTCACTTGTGTTCCATTTCTATAAAACTATAACTATTATTTAAAAATGCACCATCAAAAATGCAACAGTAAAAATGCAATTTGTTACCGGCAAANGCACCATCAAAAATGCAACAGTAAAAATGCAATTTGTTACCGGCAAAAAAAAATTCACGTGTAGACCATAACACGAGCACATGTGAGTTACACTCTCGACTTTTGGAGAATCGATTCTCATTCGATTATGCATTCGAGATGTGCCCAATTCTACTGAGCATATGCCAGCGAGTTCGAGTTTTTTCGAGTTCGACTTTTCTCCTTTTGAGATGTCGATGCCATGCTTTTTTTATAATAGGAGGATGTCCGGATGTATGCATGTCGTGTGTGTGTGTATGTGACCGATCGTTTTTCGACGATAACTGAAAAAATAATTGTTTAAATGAATCTAACTATGATTTAAAATATTCTTCCCAATGCCACTTTGACCAAGTTCGATCATGAGATTGATTGCATCATCTGTTGTTGAAAAAAATTATTTTGAAACCAATATTTTTGAGGCAATGCTGGCTGTCAACATTGAGGCGATATTGAATACAATAAATCATTGAATTCAATTGGAAAATCCACCATTATAGAAATTCCATGCGGAAGCGAATTGTTAATTTAGGAGGAAAAATATATTGACTATATTGTGACGAAAGCAATTAATCACTTCTATTTTATTCCACTCTTGACATTCCAGTTCNAAAGGGATTATAGAGGCGAGAAACTCTACTCGTTACCGGAGATATGCGCAGCGCCACCTATCTATCAATGAGGGGGCTGCGATCGCATCGTTACTGATGGAGCTCGCCATCAGCGCCACCGCTAGTAAACACTGGCCCAACGATTGGAACAATGAAGTTTCCTATCTTCAGCATTACTACCGCCAATCACTGATGTAAACCATCACAGTTGTGGCGTTTTAACATTTTTTTGAATATCAATGATAAAAATTATTACTATTTTCTACTGGAATGATATAGTTTAATTATGCTACACATTTTATATAATTATTAATTTGTGTGAGAACTAATGACTCCCTTTGAAAAAGTATGCGTGCGCCATCTAACATNGATCCGATCAATTAGCCCCTCATGTATAGATATTCCACATTTTGATTTGTTTCCTCATTGAAGTACTTTTGAAAAAAATTGCGAGCTAATAAAAAACATTTGCTAGTTAGTACTTTTTTTTAAATAAATTTTTGAAAAATCCCCCCTGAAAAAAAAGACGTTAATCCCCCCCATTTCATTATTTCCAAAAAAATTTATCACCAATCGGTAGCAAATTGTTTGAAAATTTTTGCGAGTTAAGAAAAAATCGTCAATGCACTCCTATTATTGTGTAAATTAACAATT